TTTCTCCACAGGACAGGAGCAGACTGACTCTGTGTCTGCTCCAGCCCGGAGGACCAGGCAGGGGCAGAAGGGAAGTGGCAACTGTTACTTTCTTATGGACTTAGATCCTTCTTGGTGAAGATGTTAGACGCAGTGAGAAGTAAACGATGATGCAATGTTTGACCATGAACTCATTTTCTTGTCCCCTCTTGGGCTAATTTCTGAAATATTGATAAATTACTGCTATTTTAGCAGCAAGGGAATTGAGGCTTTAATTTGTAAATGTTTAACTTTTTTGTTGATAGAGAGATTGAGATGAGTGTGGGCTCACTGTTTTGTGTAGTATAGAACTCTGAAGGACACTGTGGACTCCTTCTCCTAGTTCTCTCAGTTGTGTTGAGTCTGTAATATGTCCAACAAGGAAACATATTTCTTGCCTTATTTATCTTCAGATAATTTGTAGGTGTCAGGAAAACAATACAGCTCCTTTTTGATTTTGCCATTTCAGAATGGTACACATAGAATCCAGGTTGGGAAATTGACTTGGCCCCGGGAGAAGAGTGCAGGATGGAAAGAGGACTGGAAAGCCCATCTCGGCAGCTCGGCAGTGTTTTCTGCTTCCCAGTCTTTCACAGTTCTCCCTGGCTCTATTGTTAGTGTAGTTGTATTGCTGCCATCAGCAGTCTTCTTGTACCTAGGCTGCGCGTTCACATAGAGCTTCTTTCTCAGAGCGGTGAAGCATACAGTAAGACACAGTGGCAGCAGGAGCACCCGCTTCCTTCCTTTTCTCTCTGAGCAAAATCAAAGCCTAGTCTCACATTTCCTCACATTTTCAAGGCTTTCCTGTAGTTCTCCAGAGACAAAACTCATAAATTAAGTTTATAGTGTGGAATAAATTCCGCTCGAATTTTTTTGCCTATAAGGTCTTACCCTAACCTTAAAATGGTTACTGTTTAAATTACAGGAAATTGAAATGCTGAGTTGTTAGTCTGACTTACATATGTGGTATTAATAATCTTAGTCGGGATAACAATAAATGGGCAAGTCTTGTTCCTACTTTTTCCACACGTCCCCCGCGTTCCCTTCCCACCCAGGAACACTCCATGAAGGTATGACAAAGTGCAGACTGCTGTGAGTGAAAGACAGTAGAGGATTAGCAACAATTACCCAGTGTCAGAGAAACCAACTTACTATGATCTTATTTTAAAACTTAAAAGAAGACACAAGTACAGGCGAGTCTAACAGATTATTCATCTCCTTTCAGCAGTGTTCTGTAAGTTGAGTCTTCTCAAAGGGCCCTCTAAGCAATGGATAAGGTTCTGGTTAAGGAAGCACAGGAAAGCTTTTCTGTCCCCTTGACAACTAGCTCTTCTAGGTGAGTATCTGCCTTCGCTGGCAGAATTGTAGTCATTCCTTGTGATTTGGGTGAAGTGACTTTGTGACTCTCACAGGTCGTCACATGCAATACCTTTCTTAACTACAGACTACGCCATTTCTAGGTCAAGAATTATGAGGTCTCTTCATACTGCGTCTCACAAATGCTTCAGGGTTACTGTGAGAAAACCTAGGTTTTGGTTTTTGCTGTGCTTTGACCCCAACATCCTTCTTCTTCAAGGGATACAGCAGGAAAGTAGTTAGTGAATTTACATGAGCAATGTATTAAGTACGCTTCCTGTGTTTTAAATGGCTGTAGATCTGTAATGCGTAGATCTTGACACTGTTAAGACATTGTACTAATTTTAGAGGTAACATTTTAAAAGGGTGGAAAGTAAAACTCAAGCATTTACTCCAAAGGCCCGTGCTTATGTTATAGTCTAAAAATGAATTTCTTATTCCTACTTGACTGACATCTTCCTGTATTAAAATTAGGGGTTGATCAATCATAAAAAGCACTTTATTTGAATATATAATAATGTCAGTTTAATAAAAAATACATTTAATATTTTATTTAACTTTGAATTTTTCTTAATAAAACTACTTCTCTTTAAATGTTTCAGTTGTAACTGTTAGAACTTTCCTTCATTTTTGAACCAGTCACATCCGTCATTTTCGTTAGTTTGGTGATTTTATATTGGGATATTGTTCTGACTTTAGCCATAGCACTGTACACTGTGTAATAGAAGAATGTTACATTAGACAACTTACTCAGAAATATGTATTTATAGTTTATACCAAAAATAATTACGTGACAGTATTTTAAAGCAGGCCATGTTTTAACCTGCTGCCAGTCAGCATGTCACACATGAAACATGCTCACGTTCGTTCTTTGAGACTCGAGCCCAGTTTTTAGTTTACTTTAGATCTTTGTATTTGCAGACTTGTATGTTCACTTTTTAAAATGGAACGGAATGTTTTTGAATAATCTTACGATAACCTGAAAATGTCTAACTATAATCTCTTTGAACAATAAATAGCACTCCCTGGGTAGTGTTATGAAGTAGCAATGCCACGATACACATCGAGTCTCGGTCTTTTGGCCGATTTAGCTAGTTCAGGTTAGGGTTTGATTGTTGAGTTCTGAGCCTTGCTAAATTTAACTAGGCTTGATGTCATTCCAGGGTACGCTGCCTGCAGCTAGTTCGTAAGACTCTGGATCAAATTAACTCAGGAAAGGAACACTAGTCTGGACTTTCTGGTTAACAGTCATAATTGTGTGATTTTCCAGGTGGCCTCCTGATAGCATCTGCTCACTTTGGTGCATATGTGTGTGGGACAGACATAGACTACAACACGGTTCATGGCTTGGGTGAGTAGAACTTACAGTGTTAAGCTGAGTAGGCCTTTAAAATCATAAGGTGACATTTTAGTGTATAAAGCACAACATTTTAATGTCATTTTCCATAAAGTTTCTTTGAGTATCCACATTTGACACTATGATCACCAGTTAATGTATGAGATGTAAACTGGAAGAATATTAACATGAATAAGAAAGATTCCCTCCATCCCTGGCCAGGAACTTGTCATCTTAATACAAGAAGGATTGTTTTGTTTGTTTGTTTTGTTTTTAAAGACAAACTAAGGTTGTGAAACAGTGTAGGGAGGGAAAGTATGAAAGAGATGGAGTGTCCGTTTTATAGTCAAGCTGGAGGGATGCTTACCGCTTAAGAGCACTGACTGTAGCTGGGCAGTGGTGGCACACACCTTTAATCCCAGCACTTGGGAGGCAGAGGCAGGTGGATTTCTGAGTTCGAGACCAGCCTGGTCTACAGAGTGAGTTCCAGGACAGCCAGGGCTACACAGAGAAAGGGCTACACAGAGAAACCCTGTCTCAAAAAACCAACCAACCAAACAAACAAACAAAAAGGACACTGATTATTTTCCCCTAAGACCCAAATTCAATTCCTAGCATCCAGTGGCAGCTCACACCGATCTATAACTCCAGTTTCAGGGTTTCTGACACCCATATGCAGATCTACATGTCAGCAAAACACCAGTGACCATAAAATAAAAGTAAATAAATAAATAGAAATGATTATAGTTTCTAGTTAAGATTATTATCACTGATTTACTCAGCAATCATGCATTGAGTAAGGTTGGATTAATATTTAGTCTTTGAGTAACATGAAAATTTAGATTTTTGTGACTACTTGAACATACTTGAAACACTTGAGGTGTCTACAAATTTAAAGATTTAAAGAGTCTGTCTTTAAATGAGTGTAACTTGAAACATTAATCCACTTTAATTTTGTAGCAATTACTGAAACTATTTAAAAACTTAAAAGCTTCACTAATGTTGTGTCATTGAATGGAATTAGAGCAAAAAAAGTATATTTCCCATAGTGGGATGCTATTAAAAATACTAAATTAAATTCATGCTTTTGAAATTGTTTGCCTTTATGCTGGTATTCCTTTCCTTCACTAAGTATAGGTTAATTTAAAGGAGAGGTTTAGTTACACTTTCTGTTGCTGAAACCCTTGTGTGCAACACTAATAACCTGTCGCCCTACCTTGACCTTACTTCCCCTAACTTCTTATTGACTCTTTGTGAATTTCATATCTGCACCCCAGTCCCATTCATGTCCTTGTCTCACTATATTTGCTGTCTGCCCTTGCAGCAGCCCGCACCAAAAGAAAAGAAAGAAAAGTCTCACCATGGAAGCCTGCCCTTTTGCCAGGAAAACAAAACAAAACAAACAAACAAACAAACAAACAAACAAACTTGCCAAAAAGTTTTTCTTGCAAATGTCCATTGCCCTGAGTCATAGATGGAGCCCTCTGGCTTCTGCTCCACTATCAGTACTGGATCTTCACCAGGACTCGCTTAGGTATCCTGTTGTTACCCTGTGTCATAGAGATATTAAAGCTTTGGTTCTGCAGGACCAGCCCTTTCCTGTGCTCCAGCGGTTTACCGATGGGGGAGTTCATGATGGTGTGGGCCATCTCAAAGTCCTGGATCTGGGCCTGGGTGGTAGCTGCGTTGCTCAATCTGCCAGCTCTTCCATGCTTACTCCATTAGGGCCTGCTCTTCAGCACTGCTCAGGCAAGGGGCAGGGTCAGCTCACCCCAGTGCTGCAGCTGGCAAGGAGTGGGGCCAACTTACTCACTCTCAAACTACCAGGGCCTGCTCTACCACACTGTCTAGGCTAGAGGTGGGGCCAGCTCTCCCACCTACTGGAGGGGGCTGTCTTCTGTGTAGCCCCAACAGAAGGTGATCTCGGGCATGCTCAGTGTATTATGTTTGTATTAGAGTAAGTAAATAAACTTCTAAGACTTACTCTAGTAGAAGCCACATACTTGTTTTAAGGAAATTATCCAACCGAGCTTTGAAGACAGTTTTTACTCATTAAAGTTTTGAAAAAAGTTATTTCATAGCCTTCAGGGAGTTAATTTTTAATTGAGAAGAGTTTTGTAGTGTTTATCCAGTTGCTAGGTATGTCTTCTGTTCTCTGCTTCTGACTTCTTAGTTTATATTGTAAAACAGGCTCGTGTTTTTCCCAGTTGGAAAGTCAAAAGCCTTTCCTTGAGTCCTGTAGGGTCCCGTTAGCTGTATTTCAAATGCTGCCTGAAAATCTGCAATCTGCTTTTGGTCTCAGTTTCCTATTGCTTGTGATCATGTAGCATAGCGCCTACTGAGACACCCACCGAGGACGCAGAGCTACAGTTCGGCAGAATTGACTTTAAGAAGCTTCTGTGCTTTCCTGGGTGACATGCTCACTGTGCTGACTTTACTCTTTTGACAGTTTTATTTCAGTCTCTTTAAGGCTCTGTAGTTTTCTTTCTCTGTACGAGTATACATACTATTTTCCTGCTGTCATTTATGTGTCCACTTATTTATTCATTTATTTTTTAATCCTTGTTTCTATTACATTACACATTGTTTGGGGTTTTTTCATCCTTTTTTTAAAAGTTTGTTTCACTGTAAAATCAATCATACTACAAAAAGTATGTAATTATGTAAGAATAATTGCTGGACATGGTGGTGCATGGCTGTAATTCCTGCGCTTGGGAAGGAAAAGCAGGAGAGACTCTATGTTCCAGTCCCTGCCTCAAGACTGAGGCCAGAGCAAGCGCTTATGCAGCTGGTACCTAGGTTAGGACTGTACACGTTCTCACCGGTTCCACTTGTTTAAACGATGATGACTCCACGTGAGTATGTTCCACTCTTCAGCTACCTGATGACTCTCTTTCAGTTAATACTACTTCATGTTTTATGTGTATGAGTGTGTGCGTCCGTGTATGTGATGGTTATATATCTCATAATTCATTAGTAAGCTGTGTTTTCTTCTGGTGTCTCTGATTTTGACACTGATGTGATCATCTTCACCACCCAGTTAGGTCTCCTAGTCCTAGATCTTCCTCTACTTTCTGTCTTCAAACACTGACTTTTCATCAGTAGTGTTTCTGTTTAGTTTCTCCATGGGCAACAGCTGCTATGTTTCACCAGTTAGCATTCCCCATTTGTCTGATCAAACACTTGTTCAACATGGAAGTCTTTACTGCTGTGGGAAAGGTCATGTTCTTCTCACTTATATATCTTACTGATGAATGCTTCATACTTAGACAGTATTGGCCACTTAAAAATGTTATGTCTTACTGTTCAAAATAATAAGGTGAAGTAATACTTGCCTAGTTGTAGGCATACAATTAGGGTTACAAATGAATACACGCTTTATGTGGGTAAGTACAGGTTTGCATGATCATGAAAGTAGTTTTGGATAAACTAAAGAAATTAAGAACACTTTGATGGAATAATTTTCTACCTTCATTTTCTTTCTCTTTAGGAAAGGCTAGTCGAAAAAACCAGAAATGGCGTGGACCAGATGAGAACATCAAGGCGAATCTTCGTCAGTATGGCTTAGAGAAGTTTTACCTTGATGTCTTGGTTTCAGATGCGGCTAAGCCTTCCTGGAGGAAGGGAGCGTACTTTGATGCAATCATCACAGATCGTGAGTCTGTTTTCATACAGAGTAGGAATGGGGTTAGTTTATGGAGGTATATGTTAAGTACACCATATATTAGCACACTCTAAGATGCCCACGTGTTCTAGGCTTCTTCCCACTCTTAAACTTCCTCATATAAAAACAATACAACATTATGGCTAAGCAGCAGTTTGTTAATTTAAGGGTTTGTGATTTCATTTTAGCAAATATATTTATTCCCCATCTGTAACTATAGCTGGACATAATTTGCCAATCCATTTTCTCTTGCTTTTTTTTTTTTTTTTTTTTTGAGGCATTTATTTTTATGCTGACTGAGAATAACCTCTAGGGGTTTCAGCAATCTCACATTTCTCCTTAGGTAAAAGGCTATATATCATCTGTCTCCACTGGCATCCCCTCTCTAGACTTAGAGAAATGTAGGGCTTGTGAATCAAGTCACTTCAGAACACTACATGAAAACTTAGGTTCTGCACCTTTAGAATATTGAATGTTTGAGGCAGCCTGTCTAAACAGACATGCCTTTTCTATAGCATTGGTAAATCTGAAAATAGTGCAAAGTTAAGACCTTTATCTCAGCCGGCTTTTGTTCTTTGATGACTTGGAGCATTTTAAATCTAACAAAAGATTGTCCTGGTGGCATTAAGACGCCAGTTGTGAATGTGCATTGTGAATCCGGGTGACCTTTCATTATTTACTATTTATTCTTTCACTGTGATATTTCCTTCTGTATTTTCTGAGAACACAAATAGGATCTTAGCCATGATATAGCAATCAACTTCAGTAAATTGATATAACGTAGTCTACAGTGTGTTCAGTTTTGTCACTTGAACCACTAATATTATGGACTGTTTTTTTTACTTGAGTATAGGGTCCACTTCAGAGGCAGGCATAACATTTAGTGATTTTGGGGCTCCATTACTTAAAATGGGTCCACAGCCTCACACAGTTGTACTTGCCTGAGCATTTTATGTTAACTATTTTGGGTAGAATAATGCATAGGTGAAGTTTTTCCTTCCTTGGTGTCTTAGTTTGGGTTTCTATTGCTGTGACGAAAACTCCATGACCAAAAAGTGAGTTGGGGAGGAAAGGGTTTATTCGGCTTACACTTCCAGATCATAGTCCTTCATTGGAGGAAGTCAGGACAGGAACCCAACCAGGGCGAACCTGGAGGCAGAAGCTGATGCAGGACGGGTTCTGCTTCTTGCCTTGCTCCCCATGGCTTGCTTAGCCTGCTTTCTTATAGAAGCCAGGACGACCAGCCAGGTGGTATAGCACCACCTACAATTGGCTGGGCCCTCCCACATTGATCACAAAGTGTAATGCCTTACAGCTGGATCTCATGGAGGCATCTCCTCAGCTGAGGCTCCTTTCTTTTGATAACTCTAGCTTGTGTCAAGGTGACACACAAAACCAGCTAATGCACCTGGTTATCACGTTTCCTTGCACACTATATGAGTATGTACCGTACTAGTGACTGGCTGACTTGACTACCACGTTGTTTTGTTTTGTTTTCTGCCTAGCTCCATATGGTATCAGAGAATCTACAAGAAGATCAGGTTCACAGAAGGAGATACCAAAGGGAATAGAAAAATGGTAAGTGAAATTCAACAAGCTATTACTTGGAAAAAATTGTTGATTTTTTTTTAGTAATTCTTGTGAGCAGTATTGTACTTTTTACTTACTTTGAAATATTTGTTTTTTTTGTTAGTCCAGAAAGCCACGTTCCTGTCTCCTTGAGTTATCACCTGAGTGACATGTTTTTTGACCTGTTAAATTTTGCAGCTGAGACCCTTGTACTGGGTGGAAGACTAGTCTATTGGCTACCAGTATATACACCAGAGTATGTAGTCTTTATTTTTCTAATGTCATTTTCTACATTATTTGTATGTTTTAAGGATCCTGTTTCCTTATCTCTAATTTTGCTCATATTTTCATATTTAATATTTATCAATAACTTTGGTCTACTTATATGTAAGTAAAAAATAGTTCCCTCCCACTTAATGGATTTTTTTTTTGACCCTTTTAAATAAGGTATTGATAAACCACAGTCCTTGGGCCAGATATATTTCTAATACTGTTTTTATAAATTGTTTGAACTTAGAACACATTTTACAATTTTTTTTTAAATGTTAGAAAACTCAAGAGTATTTGACAGAAAATCTGGCCATGATTATAACAATGGTAAAACTAGCACTTGGAAAGTGTAGGTAGGAGGGTCAGAATTCAGGGTCATTCTCAGCTACCTCTTTAGTTTGAGGTTAGTCTGGGCTACATACAAGCCTGTCTGAAAAAAAGAAAGAAAAAGAAAGAAAGGAAGGAAGGAAGGAAGGAAGGAAGGAAGGAAGGAAGGAAGGAAGGAAAGAAAGAAAGAAGGAAAAGGAAAGAAAGACAGACAGACACATACCCACAAATTGTAAAATATTTGCATTCTGGCTCTTTGTATGAAAAATTTGCCAACTCTCGTTGTGTGCCACTTTGCTCAGTGCCTGGTATATCATAGATGTTCTGTAGCTGCTGACTAGTACAAGCACAAGTGATTTAAAAATTTTAGCTGAGTAACTAACTCATGTCTATTATCTCTACTGCTGGCTTTCTTACATGCCAGCTATGAGCACTTTAAATGCAGTATGCCTTTCTTACCAGCTCAGACAAAATACAGATTCTGCATATATGTCAAGCTCTGCCTTATGTTGAGCAGGACTGGCTTGGTTACCCAGTAACTGGCAGCTGATGAGTGGAGGATCAGTGGTAAACGTCAGGTGTTGGAGTAAAATGCTATTAAAGGGGCTAGAGAGATGCTCAGCGGGTAAAAGTGTGCTATCAAGTCTGATGACGTGAATTCAGACATTGGGATCTGCATGGTGGAGAGAGCTGCCTCCCAGGAATTTTCTCTCTTTGTGTCTGTCTTTTTCTCTCTCTCCCTCCCTTCCTTTCCTTCCCTTGCTTTCTCTCTTTTAAAAGGATAGGGTCTCAGGTTTGAAAGACACTATTAACATTATGGGTCAGTTATTGAATCTGCTGTAGATCCTGTCTTTGCCATATATACTTGTTCTGAAGCACCTGAGGACAGCAGTACCACTGGTAGGTTAGGAACCTCAAGATTTGAAGCCATGTAGTTTTTTGTCTGTTTTATAGCCATTGTATTTAAGTGACTTTGGCCTAGTTTTAGTCATGCCTGTGTTTGTCTAAGTTCATCCATCCAGGTTACTCAACATAGGCTTCATGTTTTCTTAGAGGTTTAGAAAAAGGAAAGCACTTGTTACTCTTCCCAGGTTCAAGTCTCAGCACCTCACATCGGTATCTCACAGCTGTCCATGCCTCTAATCCTAGGAGGTCATATAATCTCTTTTGGCCATTATAGCTGGTAGACATAAACTTGGGTGCATATATATATACATATACACACACATACACACACACACACATATATATATACATATACATACATGTATGTATATGTATATATATGTATGTATGTATGTATATATGCATGCAGGTAAAACACTCATATTTATAAAATAAATAAATCTAAAAAAATTAAGTCCATCTATTTTAGAAAATGAGGAAAATTATTTTCAAGAAGCAGTGCGCATTTTGGGGCCTGACGCTTGTTTTGTTGTTTTTCTGTTGCTGTGAAGAGACACTATGACACAGGCAGTTTATAAAGGAAAGCATTTGACTGGGGGCTCGTGGTTCCTGAGTATCAGGGTTCATGATCGTCAAGGTGGTGAGCATGGCAAAAGGCAGGTAGGCAAGGCATGGTGCTAGAGCCGTAGCTGAGAGCTCTCCTTTGCTCCTCAAGGTGTAGGCAAAGACAAAGAGAGAGACACACATACACAAAGAGACAGAGAGCCCTAACTGGAGTTGGCGTAGGATTTTGAAACCTCAGAGCCTACTCCTAGTGACATACTTTACCAAAACAAAACAGGCTTTGCCACTGATATTGATTGCATCCCAGAACTGGATCATAAGAGTCTACTGCTAAGACATTACCCTGCATGCTTGGTTGCTGTTTTCTACTCATGCTAGATGCCTTTGTTAGACTGAGGAGCCAGTTTTATGTTTAAAGGCACAGACTGGTAGGATTTTCGCAGTCCCTTATTAGATCTCATCTATACCTTGTTTAGCTTTAAAACACCCAAGAATTTCATTGCAGTTCTGAACCCTGTTTCCTGTCCCGATCATTTCCCATCGTAGCTCCTATAGATGTGCTTTCATGTCTTCCAGATGCCTCTTTAAATGTGTAGAACACTAAGGTTAGGGTTACGTAACGAGACCTTTTTACATGGTCTGGGGAGGATCACTTAGGGCCCTTTGCACTTGATTGTAAGCACAGGCCAACTGTTCTCAATGGTAGCTAAAAGCTTACAAAAAAGTAGTTTACAAGGTCCAATGCAGCACAGAAAGACTCCACTCCTTCAGGACAGCGTGGATGCATGGAAGGGAAGCGTTACCGTAAGATCTTCAGAATCTGTAATCATTCTTTGTGAGCTATCCCAGCTCCTCAGTCTGGAGTGCTCCACGTCTCACCCCCTAGAGAAGCACTGGCTGTGCTAATCAGCTGTTCCCACTCCGCAGATTCTTCTTTCTGAGAACAGCTTTTACAGCACTCCACATACAGTAAAATCCAAGGATTTAAGCTAACTGTACTTCCGAAGACCTGCAAAAGTAGCCACTGTACATTTCTTCAGTAACTTTTCTCTTAATTTATACATTTGGGAAATGCCCAAATATTTATGGCTACAGGAATGTTTTAAAGTAGACAAAGCTGAGTGTGGAGGCACGTGGCTGTAATCCTCATACTCAGGCTCCGAGGCAGGAGGATCACAAGCTTGAGCAAGCCTGGGCTACATAGTAAGTTTCAAGCCAGCATGGGCTACCTGGGTGTAAAACTAGGTATCTAGGTATCAATTTCTTGCTTTTTGTTTTGTTCTTTTTTTTTTTTTAATTGGAAGTTTTCTTTTTGTACAATCTATTCTAATCATCAGTTTTCCTTCCCCAACTCCTCCCAGATCTTCCTCACCCATGTCCCTACACCCTTTCTTTAACTCTCTTTGGGAAACAATCAGGCAAACAAACCATCATTTAAAAAAAATTAAGGAAGAAAGGAAAGCACAGGAAATACATAAAACACAACATTGGAAACCATAGTATACTTGCAAAATGGCAGTAAAACAAACAAACAAAAAAGCCCAAACAAGGCTAAAAGTGTGATATATTTAAGGAACAGAATTTATTCAACTGTTAAATAAAATTATGAAACATGCAAGTAAATGGATGGAACTAGAAAAAGTCCTCTGGACTGAAGTAACCCAGACTCCAAAAGACAAATAATGTATGTTTTCTCTCATATGTGGTTGTTAGCGTTTAAGGATTCGAGAGGCCTGGTACAAACTGATAACCATAGAGGTTAAGAATAGAGTAAGAACACAGAGAAACCCTGTCTTGAAAAAACAAACAAACAAACAAAAAAAAAGAATAGAGTAAGAGACAAGTGCGAAGGTGGAGTGGAGGAATCTCTCAAGGAAGGGGAAATAGAATACACATAAGGGACTGGAGCAGGGGATTAAATGGGGAGGGGTATGGAAGAAAATCAGTAAGGGTGGGAGATATGGAAAGGAACAGCTAATACTCAGGGATGTTTGAAGGTCGTATGGACACTGAAGAAGCTTAAAATGTTTGCACACATAAGAGGAGTCTAAATGATGTCACCAAATAACAGGGGCTACTGTACCCCCACTAGACAGCAGTGTCAGGAATAGGATGCAGCTAGTTTGTTTTTCTTTTTTTGTTTGTTTTTTTGTTTTTTATTGGATATTTTATTTATTTACATTTCATATGTCATCCTCTTTCCCCATTTCCCCTCCATAGAACTCCCCCATTCCATTCCCCCTCCTCTTTTTTTCTTTTATACCATTTGAATTACATGCAAGTATTCAGGTCAGTTCTAGGTTGAGGAACTAGCAATACAATAGATACAAATAGTCAAGGAACAAGCAAGATAATAAATACAAATAGTCAAAGAAGAAGCAAGGCACTAAACAAAATTTCATGAACACTCCCATGATCACTATTTCTAAGGGCTTATCAGGATGATCAAAATATCTGAACCAACTTCCCTGTCCTAGCCCAACGTCATTTTTATGTCTGAAGCCTACTTCCTTGTTCTAGCCTAAAATTTAGATTCCTGCCTGAAATTACTTCTTTGTTCTAGCCTAATGTCAGATTCCTGCCTGAAGCCTACTTTCTTGTCCTTGGCCAATGTCATATTCCTGCCAAGCAGTCCATTTTCTTGTCCTTTGTCCATGTCAGATTCTTGCCAAGCAGCCCCAAAGGCTCTCCACATCTCCCCCTTTTTTTAATTTCATTAACAAGACTGAGCCTGTCTCAGGTCATTCTGACAAGAATGCCTTCATTACCTGTGATGGAATATGGGTTATCAAAAGCAATGCATTTCTGTCTTAGGTTGGTAAGGCTCTGTGCAGAATCTTACCCATCCTTGGCTTGCCAGCCTGTTAATTTAATAACTCTGTCTGGGAGTCTAGTTTCAAGTTCAAGCCATATACTTTGGTTGCCAACATGTTGATGTTAAAGACAAGCTTTTAACACGATGGGCAGGAATAAAAGTATTCCCAGGTCAAACAGGGCTAGCATGATCAAGCTATATATACCATTCTTGAAGCTTGATCAAAATAGAAATAATGACCTCAGGCCATGAGTAATTTTATCAGCAGTATTTACCGCGTCATCACTCAGCAGAGCAGCATTCTTAAAATTCATAAGTTCACTGTGTAACGTTAAAACATCCAGAGAGGTGTTAGAATTATGCTAAATACACTGCAAGTGTCTTTAAACTTTTTCCTAATTAATAGTGACTACCACTGTAAATTTTAGAACTAACATGAATCCAGTCGTATTTGGCATGACACTCAAGATGGCTCCTTACTCTTAAATTCTGAACCTCCTTCCAACAATTTGAATAGGATAAAGACCATCAATCTATTCTTCCAAATGCCTATATCAATCCCCTTGTATATTCAATACATTAGTAACATTTTTTGCCAAATGATTAACAAAAGTAGCTGTCTTAACTCCTTGTGTCACAGCAATTGCAGAAGCAGTGGTGCTAGCAATTAATGTAATTAAAGCTGTTATACCAGCAATGATCAAGCTGCTTAAAGCCTGATTCATTTCTTCCAGTACTTGCAGGCTATTTTTAGAATTCCAAGGTTCTGTGATACTCAGGGCAATAAAACAAAAGCTGGTTGATAGACCTCTGTAACTGACATGTCAGATTTCAAAACACAAATACAATTACAAGGTGAACAATCAATGCAACTTACATTAAATACTGTAGAAGAAACAAAAGTAATTTTAACTTGACAATTAAAAGAGCCTTAACACATGTGGTAACACCTGTTTGAAATCCAGATCCTGCCCCAACTTTATCTCTTGCTAACATAACATCACAGAGCACTACAGTTAACTTCCTTGTTTTTTTCTCGTAGACATTTCATTGAGGATAGATTTCTTCTAGCTGTGTGGCTAGCTCAAGTGGGACGAGTACTGTGGTACTTACTCCCCTGATTGATTTGTATCAGAGTTATTTCCAGATCCTCCTATGCTGATTAGTAGATTTCTATTGTCTCTTCGCTACATTCTGATTTTTATGAGTTTAGTATTTACAACTTCCACTGGCTGAGATGAAGCTGCCGGTGTTAGTGACAGAATCGACAGCAGGGCCAGTAAGGTAGTTCAGGTGCTTGCTTGTCACACAGGCCCGGTGACAAGTTTGGTCCCCAGAACCCACACTGTAGAAGGAGAAAACTCCTGAACATTGTTCTCCAAGCTCCACAGGTGTGTTGTGGCACATGCATGCACATACTCATGAAATAAAGTTATAAAAAAGAGTATGATGACATACATATATCAAAACTTTGTATTATAGCCCATCACCATATGTTCAAATTGTCAGTAAAATAAAGTGTGGGAGCTGGAGACATGGCTGAGCAGTTAAGAGTGCCTGCTGTTCTTCAGCTGACCTGAGGTCAGTTCCCAGAACCTCCACTGGGCTGCTCATCACTAACTCCTTCCTCTGGGCTTTCTGTGGCCTCTGAGGAAACCCACACACAGGTAGCAAACATACACACGGAGACACACAAACAATAGACAATGGCCAAGAAGCTTACTAACAGGTCTCAAACTAAGGTTTTGGGAATATATTTTAATGTAGTCAGTACATTTATGGAAAAGATCACTTTTTGTCCTTATCTAGGAAACAAGGAAGAGTGATCTCTTAACAGCTCAGTGTACAGTAAATTGAATATGTTTTTCAGGTGGCAGGGTAGATGTATAACATTTAGAAAGAACTTACAGTTTTGCAGGAGAAAGAGTGAGTGAGACGTGATCATGAGAAAGCTAAAGGCTTATGTGTGTGACTGTCTTTGCTTTGAAACCTTTCAGCTGTCACTTGCATTGTCACAGTTCTCCAATTGCACTTTTCTCTCCTGTGGTTGTAGTATTTCCACAAAGTTGTGCAACCATCCCACTATAAACACAACTGCCCCACAGTACACATTGTCATTGATTCCCGAAGAAACCCCCATGTGGAGTCACCCCTCCTCTGGCCTTTGGCAATCACTGATCTAAATCTGAGTGGTTTGCCTGTTTGGGCTGATTTCAGTTTTAAATAGGTAGCTTAAGTTACAGGGAAATAGTAATAAAAATAGAGTTAGGTATTGTTACACTTGTCTAGCCAAAGTACAGATTTAACAGTTGGCAAACAGTCCACTGATATGGAACAGACTGTTTCATATACACTGAAGGTGTTTTTAAGCTGTTATTCAATTTTTTTGGTATGTTATTTTGGACATATGTTTTCCATCGATTTGGTCATGCATACATAGTCCTCTATACCTGTGGTTTCTATGTCTGGATTCAGCCGATCTTCAATGAGAAATAGAATTTGGGGCATAATAGTTTTACACGTACTAAACCCAAGACTTTTCATTCTTACCACTTCCAAAGCAGTGTAGTATAGCAAGTACCATTTATATTTGTGTTAGGTATTCTGAATAATCTAGAGATGATTTAAAGAGTACAGGAGATTGTGCATAGATTATGCAAATGTCTCCCAGCTTGCATGACTCCTTGCATTGTTGTATGGGGAGGGGGTGTTTTACAACCAGTGTACAGATACAGAGAACTGTCAGAGGCTAGAGAGAAAGTAGGTTTCTAAGTAGTTTTGGGAGTCCAAAAAAACCCTCCAATGTTTTTATATGCTGTTAAACAAATCTTGTGGCTAGTGCTACCGTGGGCCACTCAAAAAAGGAAGCTAGCTACTGGCAACTTTGAGCAATATTAGCATGATTCATGTCATTTAATATTATTTATAATTATTTTTTACAGATGAATTTGATTTTTTATTTTATAGTTATGAGGCTTAAGTATAAGAAATTTGTATTTGTGTGTATTTAAATGTCTTTTCAAAACACAAGTCAGTGTACATAGAAGGTTCTTAAATTTCTTGAAAAGGTTGGATATGAGGCCAACTTACACTACATGGTGAGAAGTAGGATCCTACTTCTAAACAAAGTGTATGTTTCTAAGTGTGACGCTGTTTTAGAAACTCATGGGTTGTACTGTTAAGTTCAAGGCCATATTTTCTCTCTGTTTTTATTTTTAAATTTAGTCTCCGTCATGATGTAGAGTGTATTTCTTTATGTCATAAATATTTTCTATGGAGATTCTAAATCTGATATGGACTAGTTTTATAAAAAGTACATTATTTCTGTCTATAGAGTAAGTGCTAAAGACTTCTTAGATGAGGAAAAACCAAAATGGTTACACGTTCCCTAAGGAATAGCCAAGAATGACTTCAAGAGAATTCCTTCCCCTGATACTGGGGTGAAATGTAGCTTTGCGTGCTGCTTGGTGAGTGAGTGGTGAAGGTTTGAGCATGTGATGGCGACAGTGAGGAGGAGGTTGTTGAAGGTCAGAGAGACATGGAAAAGTCCCCAAGAGTGGTGGTTAGGGTGATGTTGCCACATTAGAGCAGCTAAGCAGGTTCAGGATCCTTAGCCATTACTTTTCCCATTCGAGCCCGAGGTTTAAGATAGCACATGTTGTAAATGTGTGGGGAGATAATGCAGAAAGTTATAAAAGTTTGCAGTGGAAGACTAAAGCCTGCCTTCAGTGCTCTCTGGCTCCCTGCTGCTCTTCTCTCTGCTTCAGCGTGTCCCCAGTCACTGGGGTCCGTGCTAGGCTCTATTAGTACGTGTGTTGTCCTACACTGTAGGGATTGGTCAGCTCTACTCATGTCCTAGAGCAACACTCCCTGACTGTGACCTGGGCACTAACGTACCCGGAGGTTTTATTTGTACTTAGCTTTCTGAATTGTTTTACAAATAAATAACTTTAGACTTATTTACACATCTTATAGATGTCATTAACATTTTTTTAAATTGAAGACTTCATAAAAGTCTTCAGATGAACCGTTGTCTTGACTGTCAAGGGGTTGCTGTGACCTACACTTCTGTCTAACCAGCGTCTGTGAACCCTTTAGAGCATAGTCATCATCTAGCAGTTTTGTGGTTTGTTTGCTATTCCTCATTAAAACATACATGTGTATCCTCCTTTCTCTCCTTCTAGCTCCCTCTGTCTGTTTCCCTTTCGCTGTCTCTCCCTGTCTGTCTTCTTCCCCTCAAGGGGTAAAATACTGCGATACATCTTTTGGTGCTGGTACTTATAAAGTATTTGTAAAGCACAAGCAAATTGTTTCTGGACTGTATGGCACCATACTTGATCTCCACACGCCTGTTTGATTGCTCCTCACTGGCAGCTTCCTGTCTTCAGGTACACTGAGGAGATGGTGCCTTGGCACCCTTGCCTGAGACTTGTTAGCAACTGTGAACAGAAGCTTTCCAGTCACACAGCAAGGCGCTTGATTACCATGGAAAAGGTGAAGGAATTTGAGGTAAGTTGCCTTTGTGTTTTTAGTATAAGATGAAGAGTCAAAACCCCAGACCTTCCTAATTAGTTCTCCTGGAGTAGGATGTGGAGCTGCTAGTCTTGATTCTGATTATACAGCACAGTAGGTAAGCTTAGGAGGAAGCAGAGCTCGAACTTTGTAGGAATAGGAGAGTGCTTGGTTAGCTTGAAGAGCAGAAGAAACTTGCCCGGGCCTTGGGCTTCATTAAGTTCCTGTTCCAGAAACAGAACTTCTTGACTGCGGACCTGAATGTTTGTACTTACCTATTACAAAAGTGTGTATGTGTGCACATATGCCACAGCACACATGGAAGTCACATGACACCTGAGGGACTTGGTTCTCTCCTACCATGTTGATTCCAGGGCATTCCAGCATCTTTACCCACTGAGCCACCTCACCAGCTGATTGGCAGATTTTAGTCGAGACAGAGAGTCTTTATATAAGGAAGAAGGTAAAATTTTCTCATCTATTAGGTAATATCAGTAATCCTATTCATCCATTCCTGCATTTTCATTCCATTCTCATTCTCCTCTCTCTCTCTCTCTCTCTCTCTCTCTCTCTCTCTCTCTCTCTCTCTCCCCCCCCCTCTCTCACACACACACACACATACACACACATACACACACCATATAAATTTGAGAAAGAAAACTCTTAGTAACATTTGTTGCTTTCTGTCTAGATTAGAAGTGGTGTGACTAGTTCCTCTTTTAATGAGGCTGTGGTGACAGGTCAGAATGCCCTCTCTGTGGTCCTGTCTGGACTGACAGGCTCTCAGATGCACGGGCTGTTTGGGGCAGCCCTGTCTGAGTAGAGCATGCAGAGCAGGGTGATTGTGCCTGAGTATTCTGTAATGCCCATCTCTAGTCTCCCTTTGATTAAATATCGTCTAGTTTATATCTTCAAGGTCTTTCACAGTGGTGACTTAATCTGTCTGCTGCCCTTGTGTCTGTCACTTTCCATCATTCATCCCATCCCCATTTGTTATTGATCTTTAATTTAGAACCTGATTGGCTCTAAATTAATTATTTTCACTGTCATATTTGGTTTACGCTGTCAGATCTGAATCTCTCTCCATATCTTAATCATATCTTCTAAATAGATTTTTCTAATTACTTCCATGTACCAGCTAAACTTTTCGTTTCCCAAGAGTTACTGTGCTGTTCTTTCATTTTGCTACGTTATGCAAGTATTTTAGTTGATCGTTTTTATTACTAGATAGTGTTTATAAAGTTCTCAGCATCGTGTAAATTATTCTCAAAATTCAGGCTCCAGTATCAAGACTGTTCAGGAAACTAACTTATTCATCTGCATAAGTAGTTGATGGCTATCCACCAGCCGAGTGGGTGTTTATAGTATGATGTATATGTTTTTATGATGTGTATGTGCATGTGATCTGATGAGAACACATGGCTGTAGAAGTTTAGAAAACCTACCCAGTGAAATGATAGAATCTGTGGAATGGATGCAATTTTCATTGTGTTCCAAACATTTATGTACTTACATTTATCAAGGTGTGTCAGTACTAAACAATTATTTTATAGTAACAGCTTGTCTTTCTTCAAATAATATTATACATTTTGTACTGGATAATTTGCCAATAATTCTTTGTGGAAATCAAATCCTTTCCCGAGTATGATGATTTACCATTAGGTGTTTAGAACATTGAGAAACTCCTGGAGTGCTTTCTGTATTTAATGGCAGAATGACAACCTTCGAAAATGTCAGTTTTGAATCCAGCAAAACCTCATTACCTTACTTTCTGTTGCAGTTGATTAATCAGTACTGGCCCCTCGGCCTCTAAACCCTTTGTCTGATGGTGTTAATGTGTTCAATACTTCTTTTGTAGGATTGCCTCCTTGTACCAACCAACTTTTTGTTTCCTTAGAGTTATTGTACTATTCTTGGGGCTGTTTATTCTAGGTAGAAATATTGCGGTAATTATATAATCTAGTAAGTTAAACATGAGTGGAAGAATCGAGTTAGCATTTCTATAGTAAATAACTTGACTGTTTCAGAAGACAAGATGAAGTGAACTGTTAAGATAGACTTGAGAACTAGCTAGCTAGCTCAGTGGATAAGGGCACTTGCCACAAAGTGTCACACCCTGAGTCTACATGGAATCTGTATGGAAGTGTCCTTCCCTGCTTCACGTGGACCCACTCCCAATGAGATAAGTAAATAATGTGGATTTTAGAATACGTATCTAAAAAAGACTTTAGTTGGGCCTAGAAAATGATCACAGCTCAAGTTTACGGACTCAGTCTGCTTTGTAACCACTTCGTTCTTGGTTCATTTGGCGTGAGAGAGAACAGGGGTTCTGTGGGTTTGATTCCATAAACACTGGCAAATTGCCAGCAGTGTTGAGATGCAAGCAGGGGACTTAAAATTTCAGAAATGCCTCCCATTTGCGCAGGTGGAAAGTGCAGAGGTTGGTTTCTGGTGAGAGTGCTTCCCCTGGTGTCAGTGTCTGCCTTGTTGCTGTGTCTCACACAGCGTTTGTTGATCAGCCTGTGTTGTCGCAGCCTCCTTTTACAATGATACCAGTTACACTGGATTAAGACCCACTGTGGTGATCTCTTTTACCCTCAATTACTGCCTCAAAGACCCTGCTACTAGCTGTACTATGGTTATTGAAGTAGGGCTGATTCAAGCATTAGCGGGGAGATACAAGCTCTTCCCTAATGCTAACTGCTGTCAACTTAATAAGGACACATGAGGCTGGTTGTTCAGAGCAGCTCTCCCTTTTCCAGTCAGTGATGTCTCATGATGCTTTTGCTCTAAGGGAAGTGAGTTCTGCAACTTCTACAAACTACAGAATTTAATATACTCACTTGAGTTAGTAAGGTATTAATACCAGACATGTTATGTGCCAGACACGAGAGATACTTATACAAAACAAAACTATTACTGGTGGATTTTACAGTTCTAATTCTTGTTAGCAAAAAAGCAAAGTATATTACATTAGATTTCTTTATGATATTGCCTACATTAGCATTTCTTTGGAACACACATAAACTGTGTTCTGAGGAATTACCCAGACATGGAGAAGATTCTCATCTATTTCTATTTTTATGGAAATTACAGCAAACAATAAACTAGCATCTGTGTGCACTAATTTCATATGTGCTTTCTCCTGAGTTTAGTTTAAGAAAATTTACTTTTTTTCTTACAAATGTATGTTCCTATAAGCAAAATTATTTCAAAGTCAAGGGAAAAATGGCTTTGAGAGTTCTTGTTGTATATTATAATGATAAGTAAGCTCACTCTCCTGTAAAAACAGAGCTAGTTCCTGTCTGACTGCCTGCTTTCATTTTACTGTTCTTGTTTGAAACTGGTGCTAGCTTGTGGATTGAGACTGTGCCTCACTGTATAGCCCTGGCTGTGATGGAACTCACATGGCGATGAGGCTGGCCTTCAACTCAAAGCCCTGCCTCCCAGGGCTGCCCCACCACACCTGGCTGAAACTGATTTTTTTGTAAAATAAGAAAAAGCCTCCTGATGGTCACATTAGTATAGTCTAGGCTCACATTTGTAAGTCTTAACTAGTGTGAGATTTACTGTTAATGTTTTGTTAATGTGATACTCTGGTGTTTGTTTTTAATTCATGGTTTCCCTTCTGCCTCCTGCTGAGAAATGGCTGCGATTCTGATGTAATCAGGTGGACATAGAGCTGTCAAACAGTTCTCAGTGTCTCACAAATAGTTCTCAGGCTTGCTCAATGCTGTTGACTTTGACAGTGGAAGAATATTAACATTAGGTTTTTTTACTTCATAGACTGTGTCCCTTGCGTTGTCACTTTTTAGGTCTAACTTTACTATCGAGTTGGGCTTACTCTATACATTGTTAAAGGGTTCTATTGTTAAAGATTCTATTGTTAAAGAGCTCTCCCACCTTTTAAAACTGTACAAAATAAGTTAGAGAGATTGTCTAAGGAATGTGAATGTTTCTATCTGTATATTCTTAGCTATAGTTTTAGTCTCACTCATTTTTTGTATATGACACAGTGTTATGAAGATGCCTGGTAAAAAGACCTATATTTTGTTGTTAGTGTCCTTCACTGATTTATTCCAGAGACTAAGTGAATAAAGTGCCAGGCTTTGTCAGTGCTTGTTTATAAACGTTCTTATCTACTTGTTTGTTTCCCCATTTCAGAGATGAGAGCCTTCCTTCCTTCCTTCAGCCCACTGATGACTAAATATTGAACAGCACAGGTGAAAATAAAGCTCTTCTTTGTCCTTGAGATTTGACCTTTCCTACATCACATGGTCCAGAGGATGGATTCCTCCCTTTAAGAGTGTGTTGAGATGAAAGATCTGGGTATGCTAGTTAGTGGCAGGATGCTTGCCTAGCAGTGCCGGACCTGGGGTTGATTTCCACTAACACAAAGGAGATAAGAGCAAATGTTCCGAAGCATTGAGTTATTAGCTTCTGTTAAACATACTCTCTGTTTCGCCTGCTGTTTTTAGCCAGTGTGCTCAGGGTGCTGTGACAGAATGCAATACGTTTTGCTACGGTTAGCTTTCTTCTTCTTCTTCTTCTTCTTCTTCTTCTTCTTCTTCTTCTTCTTCTTCTTCTTCTTCT